TTCGCTAAATGTACTGCTTTGTTGTTATATTCATGCAGGTATGAATCCATGGTGCATGCAACTAATCCAAGGAGTCGTGTTGTTATTGATGCTGATGACGGGAGGTTCAGGCGATTGTTCATTAGTTATCATGCCTGTATTGAAGGGTTCATTGCTGGGTGTAGGCCTCTATTGTTTTTGGATGGAACATTTATTAAAGATCGTTACAGAGGCATACTACTTAGCGCTACCGGGTATGACGGCAACCAGGGAATATTTCCCCTAGCTTATTGCGTATGCGACCAAGAGAATGAGGTTAACTGGAAATGGTTCTTACAAGGATTATGGACGTTACTGTATGATAGGGAAAATCCTTACAAATCTCCACATTGACTGGTAATGATTTCAGACGCCGACAAGGGTATCAGGGCAGCAGTCGAGGAATTCTTTCCAGATGCATTCCATTCAAGGTGTGTTCTGCATCTAGTCGAGAATTTCAAAAAGAAGATGAAGGATTTTGGGCACAAGGTAAATATCGCGACTACGTTGGGCGAGCTGTTACAATCTGCGGCTTATAAGTTCACAATATCTAAATGGAATAATGACATAAAAAAATTGGCAGCGATCGATCACAGGGCTTACGTCACTGTAATGGAATACTCCCCGGAGAGATGGGCAAACGCGCATTTTCCTGGTATAAGGTAAGATAGCCTGGTCCCAACGTTATTTTGTTACAGCACTGTTATAGTTGTTTAGGTTAGAGTTATCCTACAGTTTTCTGTTAAGGTTAGATTTTTATTGTTATGGTTGGAGTTATTCTGCTAGGGTTTTGCTGTTAAGTTTAGGATATTTGTTGTTAAGGTTAGGCCTTTAATGTTTAGTTTATGGTTTTATTGTTAATGTTAGTGTTTTGTTGTTAAGGTATGGCCATGTTACTTCAAACGTTGCTGAGTCCTTCAACAGCTGGATAAGAAAGGCACGATTGTTGCGAATCTTACCTTTGGTTGAGACCATACGGAAGCAAATAATGGAGCGCATGCATGAAAGGAGGCTATTGGGTCAGAAATGGTCTGGATACTTATGCCCGGAAGCGGAGATGGTGCTGAGTGATAACATTCAGCATGGTAGCTGCTTGGCGATTAAACATTCGACGGAAGATATTATGGAGGTCGAGTCCAATAAAACTTACCGCGTAGATTTGAAGAATCAGACTTGTTCTTGCAGGTCCTGGGACATCCTTCACATTCCCTGCAAACATGCGTGCGCTGCAATTTCATGGATGGGACGAGAAATTTATCAATATTGCGATTGGTACATGACTGTTGACGCATTCAGAGCAAGCTATGCACCGATCATCTATCCCATCCCAGATTACGAGAAGCGCTTTGTACTACCAGAAGATCGAGTGTTGAAGCCTCCTCTCACCAAAAAAAGACGTGGAAGACCATGCACTAGACGAATAAACAACAGGTCGCTGAACACCCGACCTGTTAAGTGCTCTCGATGCAACATGGAGGGTCACAATCGTGCAATCTGTAACGAGCCTATATAGTTTAGCGTTTTATTGTCATGTATATGAATTTGTTGTCAGGTATATCATTACAAGTGAGAAGGTTATGACTTGGCTGCTAAGGTTATTACTTGGTTTTCAATTTTATCACTTTAATGTTGAAGTTTTGACTTGGTTGTTAAGGGTATTACTTGGTTGTCAAGTTTATCACTTTAATGTAGAAGTTTTGACTTGGTTGATAGGTTTATCGATTGTATTTAAGTTTACTGTTATACACCTGTTATCCACCTGCTCTTTGCTGTCAATATCATCGATTGTTAAAATTGTCAAGTATATCGTTAAAATTGTTAGGTTTTATGGCTTGGCTGTTAAGGTTATTACTTGGTTTTCAATTTTATCACTTTAATGTTGAAGTTTTGGCTTGGTTGTTAAGGTTATTACTTGGTTGTCAAGTTTATCACCTTAATGTTGAAGTTTTGACTTGGTTGTTGATGTTATTATTTGGTTGTAAAGTTTATCACTTTAATATTGAAGTTTTTGATTGGTTGATATGTTTATCGATTGAAAGTTAAGTTTACTGTTATACACCTGTTATCCACATGCTCTTTGTTGTCAGTTTTATTTGTTTGTTGTTTAGGTTACTATTATCCACTTGCAATTGGCTATCAAGGTTACCGATATATTTTTGATCTGACTGCATTCAATGCATTTCATAGTTCCCAAGGCAGTAGAGTAATATCACCATCCCTCGGATTGTTCCAATACAGAACCGAACTATATAACATTTCTCCTCACCTTTACATCTTCTTTATCTTCCCATCACCGCCATTCTATTTGTCCTCGCTATTTTCTCGATCATCCTAAGCTCTCCCCTCTCCAATCTCATAAACCAGAAGATCACGGCTAGCCCTCACGCTTATGAAGACTTCTTCAATATTTCTGGGTTCTGACCATATAATAGCATCAACCTTTTTTGAATATTATTACCTTTATATATTCCCCATTGTCATTATCTTGAAGTTCCATCGGATGAGCTTGAATAGCAATGGCTTTCTCCAAAGAGCTTTCCGTTTTCTTAACAGGCTGCTGGAAAGCTCTTCGTTGGAAGCCATTTATATTCAAGCACAGTTTATGGAACTTAGAGAATTGACAATGGGGAATAGATAAGGTTATTAGCATTCAAATGGTTGATGCTATCATACAGTCAGAATCCAAGAAATCTTATACTCGAACGAGCCTATATAGTTTAGTGTTTTATTGTCATGCACATGGATTTATTGTCAAGTATATCATTACAAATGTTACGGTTATGGTTTTGATGTTAAGGTTATTATTTGGTTGCTAGGTTTATCGATTGAATGTTATGTTTACTGTTAGGTCTCTTACTGTTATTCACTTGCGCTTGGTTGTCACGGTCAGTGAAGGATATTCTCTGCTACTGCATTCAATGTTTCTCCTAGTTCCCAAGGAGGAGAGTTAATTTAACCTGGGCTCCTATCCTTCGCCTGTTCAACTACAGGATAGCGCAGACATCCTTTCGGCGCATTCTTGCGTCGATCTCCCCTACCATATATTCTCTGTTGACCCTCTATATTTAATCTGAAAAAAACTACCCTCTCCCCAAAACCTACAAGTTCTCCTTTCTCTGTTGCTAAGGTTAGCGCTCTGTTTCCAAGCTTATGGGATGGATGCTAAGGTTAGCACCTTGTTGTTGCGTTTAGCTCTGTTGTTAGGCTTATTTATTGGTTGTTAAGATTGTAGCAGACCTCATTGTTATTTTTTCTATGTTAAGATCACGGCGTGGCTGTTAAGCTTATTTTTTCATTGACTTGGTTGTAAGCAAGATTGTAAAGAAAGACGTGGTATGATACATGGTTGTATTGTTGAGCGGATTGTTTTGTTGTAAAGATCATTGATTGGCTGTCAAGGTTATGTACTGATTGTCAAGCTTATGTATTGGTTGTTAAGTTTAACGCCCTGTTGTTAAGGTTAGCGCTCTGTTGCTAAGCTTATGTATTGGTTGTTAAGGTTAGATCTCTGTTGTTAAACTTATGGATTGGTGGCTAACATTAGCACATTGTTGTAACGCTTAGCACCTTGTTGTAACATTAGCACCTTGTTGCTCCTCGCATGGAACTTTGATTGGGTCGAATACGCTGCGTAATTGGTTCTCATTGAAGCCAGCTTTAATGTAGTTGAAGGCTTTGACGATTTTGAGCACATGTTCCCAATGTCCAGATCTCTCCTTCAAGGAGTCGTAATGCCTGGCAATATCATTTTCGACATCAAACTCCAGCAGATGCCAATGATCGCCCTGGACAATGGGAACTAAGAGGTTAGTACACCCTTCATCGACCAAGCGTTTGATGTAGATATCATGCAGTTCTTGGTAATCTGGATTCGGCACATGTATCTGGTGCTACAATAAAGAATTAACCCGATCAGATTCCTTTTAACATAGATTATGTGCTGATAGGTAGGAGTACGCCACACCAGACATAAACTTACACTAAACCAAACAGGGACCACCCCAAATTTTATACTAGACGACGATATCTTATTTTCACGAACTAAATCAAGCAGCGTATCAACAATCTATCATAAGTTGGCAACAAGTAATTAATAATAATATTGTTAAATATGCTAATGAATAAATACCAATCGAAAATCTTACTACATCATCCAGTCGCCCACCGTGTAATATATTGAGGATCTCAAACCGGCTAATAGACCCTGTTGATCCGTCGTACGCTTTAATAAAACTACAAACAGGGACAAAACAAAAATTATAGTTAGCAACTAACAGTTAGCAGCAAGAACAAATCAATAACTATAACGAAAAACACTTAACCTAAACAACAAATCAATAATCATAACAAAGAACCCGTAACCATAACATCAAACCAGTAACCTTAACATCAAACCCGTATCCTTAACAACTATCACGCAACCTTAACAACAATTCAATAGCTATAACGAAAAACCCTTAACCTAAACAACAAATCAATAACCATAACAAAAACCCCGTAACCATAACAACAAACACGTAACCTTAACATCATACATGTTTCCTTAACAACTACCATAAGCCTTAAGCACCCGTGAACATAACATCAAACCCGAATCCTTAACAACTACCACGCAAAAATAATAGTTAGCAACTAACAATTAGCAGCAAGAACAAATCAAAAACTATAACGAAAAACCCTTAACCTAAACAACAAATCAATAACCATAACAAAAAAACCCGTAACCATAACAAGAAAACCAGTAACCTTAACATCAAACCCGTATCCTTAACAACTATCACGCAACCTTAACAACAATTCAATAGCTATAACGAAAAACCCTTAACCTAAACAACAAATCAATAACCATAACAAAAAACCCGTAACCATAACAACAAACACGTAACCTTAACATCAAACACGTATCCTTAACAACTACTAAATACTTGAGATGTGAGGTAAATACTTACTTGTTACATCTACAAATGCAAAAATGGTTAAGAGCTTTTTGCTCCTCTTCCGTCAGTAGCGCGGCAACGTCTGCTGACACCTTATAGTTATGTACAAATGTGTCCTTGTCGCCCAAAAACTTGATGATGAAGCCATCTGGAAAGGGAATCCCCTCGTTCAGCTTATCTCTGTACATTTCTTCTTCTGAACTCATAGGGGAACTCATGTGTTTTTCCCAGATAGAGTGGGGGTCACTTTGTAGCCGAGCAGGAGCCAACTCTGCATTGTTTTCCTGCACCTGCGCTTCCTCCTCCCCACCCACTTCTATTATAGCCTTGTCCCCTATGTTGTCTTTTTCTTTCTTCTTCTTCCCTTCAGTGTAAGGGGTGACTACCCACTTGGAAGGCTTCACCGATCTTTTGCATCTCTTCCGTTTAGGGGGTGCAGCAGCGGCCACCTTCCCGCGTGCCCCCGTTGCACCCCTCTTTCTCTTATTCAAAGCCCTTAAAAACACAATAGGAGCATCTTCGTCATCAGTTGATGTCTCTATTGCTGGTGGAGGGGCATTCTCTGATTGCTTCGTCATCAGTTGATGTCTCTTCTGCTGGTGGAGGGGCATTCTCTGATTGCTTTATTTCCATCCCAGTGTCCTCCCGCAGAGTGTCTGATTCCAAACAACCCATTCGAAGTATAAATATTAAGAAAACATAGCCCCTTCTATCTAAACTTAACAATTTCATAGTAAACCTAACAACTGATGCCTAAACACATGGTGAAAAAGTTGCTAACCTATACAAGTTTGCGTCTCCCCATCACCTGCAGAAGGGACTTCAACCGCCGGCGTTATTTCCCTTCCAGTGCCCTCGCGTTGAGTGCCTGTTTCTGATAATATTCAGAGTATAAACAATAAAAAGCTTAACAACCAATACGTAGACATAACAACCAATCTCTAACATATAGTACAAAAGCAAGCTAACCTGTACAAGTTAGTAGCTCCTTCGCTGGGGGGGACACCTTCTCTCCCTCGTTTATTTCTGCCTCAAGAGCCTTGTCAACAGCAGATGCCTCTGGTGGAGGTAATTCTCCTGGCGGAGCATCTTCACTCTCCTTGTGAATATCAGAAAACAATGGTTGTGGAGAGGCCCTCCCTGTTGGAGGGGCCTCACTCTCCTTATTAGCTTCATCAAATAATAATGATTTATTAACATCCCCCTCGTACTGTACATCAATACCACCCACGGTGCCTGGAGTGTCTGATTCAAAAAATAAACACAAATGAGCTTAGGTACTTCATTGTCAAAAAAAACATAGCATCAGTTAGATAACCTTAAAACTAACCAAGATACTTAACAATCAATCTCCAACCTTGGCAATAAATCCCTGACCTTAACATTAGATCCGTAAAGTTAACAATACATTCTTAACCTTAACAATAAATCCCTAACCTTAACATTAGATCCGTAAAGTTAACAATACATTCTTAACCTTAACAATAAATCCCTAACCTTAACAATAAATCCCTAACCTTAACATTAGATCCGTAAAGTTAACAATACATTCTTAACCTTAACAATAAATCCATATACTTATCAATCAATCTTTAAACATAACACGCAAACGTAATTGCAAGCCACATCTAACATGTACAAGTTTGCGGCTCCATCAATGGGCTGGAAACCAATCCTGTAGGGCTCTTATCCTTGTATACAGAGAGGGTTCCGGATCGTGCTTCTCTTAGTTCCTCTCTCAGTCTTCTATTTTGAGCAGACAGCTTAGCCACCTTCACAGAAAGAGCACTTATCTTTACACGGTCTGCAGCAATCATACCCTTGAATTTATTCTCGTTCTCGCGACGTAATGCTTCGTTCATTGCCGCGATGCTCTTCCAGTAGATAACTTGCTGAGGCCAATCCATTTGCTCAACTGCATCATTTGGCTGCTCGGCGTCTTCATCAATATCCTGTGGCATCACATATGCAACGGACAGGTAGAGTACTATTAAAAGGATTAATTAATTCAAAAACAAATAAAATCCACGATTGCTAAGTTCTTACAAGTGCATCAATTGGGATGTCGTCATCTTCTTCTCTCCTCTTCTTCTTGTGAAGAAGGTCTATTGGGCCACGAGCCCTGCCGGCGTCTACTGCAGCCGGACCCTTAATCCTCCTCTTCTCTCTCTCTCTCCTCTTCTCTTTCTCTATCCCCTGCTCCTTCCCCCAAAAACCTCCCTCGATTCTTTGAAGTTGTCCATGTTGCTGTGGAAGCTTTATCGTAGCTTTGCTTGCTTTCGCAACAACAGTGGCCAATCTCAAAGAACCAGCAACGTGCCCAAGTCTCACCCAATTTGTCAGGGGAGGCCTCACCGTACAACCAAGTGCTGGCTTCTTGATGCCGGTGAGTTCATAATACCACAACTGCACATTAGAGATATAAAAACTTAACAAACACCTTCATCCGTAACAATTAATAAAGTAACCCTAACAATAAAAACGTAACCTTAACAACCAAACCGTAATATTAACAACCAAACCGTAACCTTGACAACGAAACTGTAACATTAACAACTAAACCCTAACCTTCACAATCAGTAAAAAACATGATTACTTACACAAACTAGAGGGGTACACCCTTGCAGATATAATGTCGTCTTCCCTGGCTCAGGACCCTTCGGTGCCCTCTCTATCGCGTCAGATGTCTCACTGAATATATAGGTCCCCCAAGCAGTGTTATTGACCTGTTCGATGCTGTCGACGTACTTGAATAAATGCCTAGGAACGCCAGAAACACTGCTTGGACACCAAATCATGCTCGGCTGATAGAGGATCTGTAGCAGGACAAAGTCCTTCACATCTCGGCGATCAGAAGATAGTACCAGCTTCAAGAGCAGGTCCTCCACATTGCATCTGGTGGGGCCTCCTTTGGGGGGAGCTATACTGCTGGAACCCCCCACCTCTGGTTTGTCAAAAAACCTGAACCAAATCCTACTTTTCTTGTCCCGATTGTGGTCAACATGAAGCCCCTCATTGGAGAACCATGTATGCTCCATTACCCACTCAAGGTTGAATGAGCATGCGATCTCTTCTCCATCATTCCTATTGGTGAAGACGAATTTTTTGCTCTTCTTGTCCCACTGACTCAAAATGTGCTCAAAGGTGGGAAGATCGACGCCAGGTGGGCCAAATTGGACGTAGTGTCTGAATACACTATCTTCGTAGGCCGCAAAATGCCTTGGCCCCATACGCGTCACCAAATTCTGCATGAAGTCGTGATAGGCACCGAAGCTGGCGGTGGGCCGCAACGTAATAGCTGGCTTTGCCCTTTTTCTACAAAACAAAAACACAAGACGAGAGCATTTTTGAGTATAATCAGTAAACATAACAACTATGCTGTAAACTTTGCGGGTAAACCAACAACCTTAACAGCAACCACATAACCTTAACAACAAAAACCTAACCTTAACAACCAAAGCCTAACCTCAACAACTAAACAACAACCTCAACAATAAAGGCAGTAACCAACAATCTTAAAAACAACCCCACAACCTTATCAACCAAAACCTAACCTTAACAACCAAAGCCTAACCTCAACAACCAAACACAACCTCAACAATAAAAGCATAGACCTTGCATGTTAACAGTAACCTCAACAGCTAACAGACACCGTAATTTTGGACCTTCCCACCAGACTAAGAGCATTATCAATCAAACCGTAACCTTAACAACATAAAACTTGCGGTAAAAATTACCTTTTGGGTGCTGCCACGTGCTTCTCTTCTTCTCCTCTCTGTAGACCAAGGAGCGCTCTAGTGGCATCGTTGGACGCGCCGGTGGTGCCGGTGCTGCCCTCTAGACCTTCGCGTGGGCCCACACTTAAATTTTGAGGCGGGCTTCTGGGATGAGAATGGCTGGTTGCGATGTCCTCTAGAACATCACCAATCGTAGCTCGAGCTTCAGATTCAGTCCGCACTGCAGTTGTATGGGCTCTATCTGAGATTTCGCACCACTAGGCGTCATCGCTTTCGTTGTGGTCGGCATTGAGGTTGGCTTTGGGGGTTGAATCGTCGCCCATTTTGATCCCTTTGCTTTGATTCGGTTTGCGTTGGGGTCGGTTGATTTAGGGCTAGGGTTTTGAATTGGGTTTCTGGAGTCGGTTTGCTTGCAGAAGAGAGAGATGACAGGGTACGGACGAGGAGGTAACTCATAACGGGGAATTTTAAACGTAAGGGTATTTTTAGACCTAACAATTAATAGAAAATCAAGGAGCTTTCGAAAATATGTAACATTGAGCTAACAAGATACTGCAGTGTGTTTGGATCGGAGATGAACTAGGGTTCTTTGAGCATTAACATTATGGGAGTATGCAGTACCATTATTGTTTTGGGACTTGGTCAGATCTTTCTTTCTACAAAAGATTGATTTTGATTAAAGAGATTATGTTTGGTCTATGTAGAGATTATGGGCTGGAAGCAATTTTTCCTATTTTAAATGAGAATGTTTATACTATGATAGGACAACATGAGTAAGTTGTCATAGTAGAAATGATTGTTATGATGTAAATTCAATTTGACGACAAAAATGAAGAATATTGCTTTGTTGGAAATATTGAGAAAAACTCAATTCTCTGCTCTTATTTTCGTTTTATTAGTAATGACTATTGGGTACATTTTAAGAATAATAATGTAATCATAAAAATCACTCATTGCAACTAAATGTAATGGAAAACATGCAAAAAGACCAAGGAATTCAAACCACCTAAATGAGATGAATATTTAAAAAAACAATATTATAATATTAAAATTTCTAATAAATATTGTATATGCTTAATTAAAAAACATTAGTATATAATAATAATATTATTATTATTATAGTAAAAATATTATTTCACCTAAATGAGATGAATATTTAAAAAAACAATATTATAATATTAAAATTTCTAATAAATATTGTATATATTTAATTAAAAAACATTAGTATATAATAATAATATTATTATTATTATAGTAAAAATATTATTTGTGGTGACGGTGTATTCGTCGTTATCAAAGAGAATACAGAAATAATCAGCTTGAGATATCGAGTGGCGGAAAGGCTTAAAATACCAATGCAATCTCTTTCACTGAAGTTCATATGCGAAAGGGAAAAGAAATTCAGTATTTCAATTGACAATGACGACGACTTAAATTTGATGTTCGAGTATTGTCGGCGTAATGGATTTACAGACGCGAATTTGTATGCCACCTCCGCTGCGGAATCCTCAACTTCGCAGAACACGCAGACTACGCCGGAAACTGCGTAGGAATTACACTCCAGATTTCCTTTTGAGTTCACTGATAGGTTTTGCCATTAGTTGTTAACCTCATGCATTGGTTGCTTTGGTAATGTGTTGGCTGTCAAGGTTATGTTAAGCACTGGTTGTTAAAGTTATTTGTTGGCTGTTACGTATACTAGTTGGTTGCTAAGTTATGGTGTTTGATGTTAAGTATATGCGTTTGTTGTTAAGGTCACGAGTCTGCCCTTAAGTATAAGGGTTAGTTGTTAAGGATATGTGTAGGTTGTTACGTTTATGAGTTCGTTGTTAAGGTTATCAGTTCGTTGCTAAGGCTATGTATTTTGATTTATACTTCAGGACAATACCGACAGAAAATTCGCGGTGCGCAGATACCCCGTTCACCCAAACCTGTAATGATGAGCGTATTCCTAATGACAACCCCACCGGCGACTCGATCATGCTGCTGGAAGACATGCTTAATCACCAAACAAAGATCCCAACTGAGTGGCACACCTCCATACGTGAAGTTGGTCAGAAATTTGATAGTGCTGCTGAAGTTAGATTAGCACTTCAATACTATTCAATTGCTAAACGGTTCGAGTATGATTTTTACCACAATGAACAAAGACGCATAAGAGTCTATTGCCGATTCAAACACACACATGGTTGCCCTTGGATGTTGTTTGCTTCCCCGCTCAGAAATTCGTCTATCATGTCCATAAAGAATTTCGAGTCTACCCACACCTGCGGTCAACATGGAGCAAATGCTGGCAACTCAAGGGCATCAAGGAAGTTCATTGCTAGCCAAATACAAGCTGTTTTGAAGGTTAGGCCAGATCTTCGTGCGGTCGATATCAAGAACGACATGCTCTCTAATTTTGGCATCAAGATTAACTACAGTAAAGCGTGGTGGAGCAAGGAGACAGCTCAACAGGACCTGTTCGGTGACGATGATGAGGCTTACGATTCACTGAGATGGTCCTTATCTTTTTTATTCTTCTGAAATCACTCTTACCTTTTGGTTGCTAACTATACGTAGTAGTTGTTAAAGTTGGCGGTTCGACGTTAAGTGTACGTGTTGGTTGCTAACTATACGTATTAGTTGTTAAAGTTATTGGTTCGTCGTTAAGTATACGTGTTGGTCGTGAAGTTTGAAGATCATTTGTTATGGTTATGAATCCTTCGCTAAATGTACTGCTTTGTTGTTATATTCATGCAGGTATGAATCCATGGTGCATGCAACTAATCCAGGGAGTCGTGTTGTTATTGATGCTGATGACGGGAGGTTCAGGCGACTGTTCATTAGTTATAATGCCTGTATTGAAGGGTTCATTGCTGGGTGTAGGCCTCTATTGTTTTTGGATGGAACATTTATTAAAGATCGTTACAGAGGCATACTACTTAGCGCTACTGGGTATGACGGCAACCAGGGAATATTTCCCCTAGCTTATTGCGTATGCGACCAAGAGAATGAGGTTAACTGGAAATGGTTCTTACAAGGATTATGGACGTTACTGTATGATAGGGAAAATCCTTACCAACCTCCACATCGACTGGTAATGATTTCAGACGCCGACAAGGGTATCAGGGCAGCAGTCGAGGAATTCTTTCCAGATGCATTCCATTCAAGGTGTGTTCTGCATCTAGTCGAGAATTTCAAAAAAAAGATGAAGGATTTTGGGCACAAGGCAAATATCGCGACTACGTTGGGCGAGCTGTTACAATCTGCGGCTTATAAGTTCACAATATCTGAATGGGATAATGACATGAAAGAATTGGCAGCGATCGATCACAGGGCTTATGTCACTGTAATGGAATACTCCCCGGAGAGATGGGCAAACGCGCATTTTCCTGGTATAAGGTAAGATAGCTTGGTCCCGACGTTATTTTGTTACAGCACTGTTATAGTTGTTAAGGTTAGAGTTATCCTACAGTTTTCTGTTAAGGTTAGATTTTTATTGTTATGGTTAGAGTTATTCTGCTAGGGTTTTGCTGTTAAGTTTAGGATATTTGTTGTTAAGGTTAGGCCTTTAATGTTTAGTTTAAGGAATTATTGTTATTGTTAGTGCTTTGTTGTTAAGGTATGGCCATGTTACTTCAAACGTTGCTGAGTCCTTCAACAGCTGGATAAGAAAGGCACGATTGTTGCGAATCTTACCTTTGGTTGAGACCATACGGAAGCAAATAATGGAGCGCATGCATGAAAGGAGGCTATTGGGTCAGAAATGGTCTGGATACCTATGCCCGGAAGCGGAGTTGGTGCTGAGTGATAACATTCAGCATGGTAGCTGCTTGGCGATTAAACATTCGACGGAAGATATTGTGGAGGTCGAGTCCAATAAAACTTGCCGCGTAGATTTGAAGAATCGGACTTGTTCTTGCAGGTCCTGGGACATCACCCGCATTCCCTGCAAACATGCGTGCGCTGCAATTACATGGATGGGACGAGAAATTTATCAATATTGCGATTGGTACATGACTGTTGTTGCGTTCAGAGCAAGCTATGCACCGATCATCTATCCCATCCCAGATTACGAGAAGCGCTTTGTACCGCCAGAAGAGCGAGTGTTGAAGCCTCCTCTCACCAAAAAAAGACGTGGCAGACCATGCACTAGACGAATAAACAACAGGTCGCTGAACACCCGACCGGTTAAGTGCTCTCGATGCAACATGGAGGGTCACAATCGTGCAAGCTGTAACGAGCCTATATAGTTTAGCGTTTTATTGTCATGTATATGGATTTGTTGTCCTGTATATCACTACAAGTGAGAAGGTCATAGCTTGGTTGTTAAGGTGATAAACTTGGTTGTCAAGTTTATCACTTTAATGTTGACGTTTTGACTTGGTAGTTAAGGTTATTACTTGGTTGTCAAGTTTATCACTTTAATGTTGAAGTTTTGATTTGGTTGTTAAGGTTATTTTTTTGGTTGTCAAATTTATCACTTTAATGTTCAAGTTTTTGATTAATTGTTATGTTTTTTTGGTTGTTAAGTTTTTGATTAATTGTTATGTTTATTGATTAATTGTTAGCGCCCTCTTGTGGAGAGGTCCCTTGCTGTTATTCAGCAGCGTTTGGTTGTCACGGTCACCGGCGTATATTCTCTGCTACTGCATTCAATGTTCCTCCTAGTTCCCAAGGAGGTGAGTTAATATAACCTGAACACCTACCTATCCCCACATTCCACGCGGCAACACCACCATCCCTTCGCCTGTCAGCTACAGGATAGCTAACCTTAACAACCAATACAACAGATAGCTAACCTTAACAACAGGGAGCTAACGTTAGCAACCATTCCATAGTTTTGACAACAGATAGCTAACATTAACAACCAATTCATAAGCTTGACAATTAACAGCTTACCTTAACAACAGATAGCTAACCCTATTGTTAAGGAATCCATAAGCTTGACAACCAATCCACGATCTAAACAACAAAACCATAAGCTTATCAATTCACCCCCTGATCTTCTCAACCAATAAGCTATACAGTAGAGCTAAACGTTACAACAAGGAGCTACAGATAGCTACGATTCCACAAGTTCAACAACAGATAGCTAACCTTAGTAACCAATACATAAAAATTGACAACAGAGCGCTAACTTTAACAATAAATCAACAAGCCTGACAACAAAGAGTCAACCTTAGCAACCAATCCATAAACACGTAAACTTAACAACCAGTCAATAACCTTAACAGTGAGTCCATAATATTTCTTGATAAATCGTTAAACTTAACAAAACAACATGTATCCAAAAATAATTTCTTTTACAATGAACTTGCTACAACCTTATAACAAACAAATAAGCCTATCAACAACCCCGTAAACTCAACAAATAAGCTTGAATACACGATGACTACAGCATGTATTACCATTGTCTCTACTATATGTCCCATAACCGTGGGTGAATATAACTGGCTCCCTTCAATGAGCTTGTACAATAAAAAGATAGTTAAGATTCATAGGTGCGTGGAATATGATCAATTCAGATGGATCAATGTGTGATGCACCTAGGAAGGCATGCGATGCTGTTGTAGATAGTCCTCTGGCTTACGTTTACACTGTATAGCTATACAGTGTTAACGTAAGCCAGAGGACTATCTCCACCAGCATTCGCATGCCTTCCTAGGTGATTCACACATTGATGCAGCTGAATTGATGGTATTCCACGCACCTATCAATCTTAACTATCTTTTTATTGTACAAGCTCGTTGAAAAGAGCCACATGCATTCACCCACAGCTAATGGAACTAAGATCAAACCCGTTCCAGGGGATAACGTCTTCATCAGCGTGAGGGATACCCAAGATCTTCATCATTGTGCGCAAACCTCGTCGCCATGACCTTCATCGGCGTGAGGACTAGCGTTGATCTTCGGGTTTTCATGGCGAAAGGAGAACTTGAAGGTTTTGGGGAGAGGGTAGCTTTTTTTATAGAGGGTCAACAGAGAATAAATGGTAGGGGAGATCGAGGAAAGATTGCGTCGAAAGGATGTCTGCGCTATCCTGTAGCTGAACAGGCGAAGGGATGGTGAAGTTGCCGCGTGGAATGTGGGGATAGGTAGGTGTTCAGGTTATATTAACTCTCCTCCTTGGGAACTAGGAGGAACATTGAATGCAGTAGCAGAGAATATACGCCGGTGACCGTGACAACCACACGCTGCTGAATAACAGCAAGGGACCTCTCCACATGCATTCAATAGCCACATGCATGTGGCTCCCTTTAATGAACTTGTTCAATAGCCACATGCATTCACCCACATGCATTCACCCACAGCTATTGTTGAGGTTAGTGCTCTGTTGTCAAGCTTATGTGTTGGTTGTTAAGGTTAGCTCTCTGTTGTTAAACTTATGGAATGGTAGCTAACATTAGCTCCTTGTTGTAACGCTTATAAATCTGTTGTTAGGCTTATGGATTAAGAAGATCACGGGGTCGTCGTATTGTTGATGTTATGGTTTTGTTATTAAAGATCATGGACTGGCTGTCAAGGTTATGTGCTGGTTGTCATGCTTATGGATTGGTTGCTAAGGTTAGCGCCCTATTGTTAAGGTTATGGGTTGGTTGCTAAGGTTAGAGTCCTGTTGTTAAGGTTAGTGCTCTGTTGTCAAGCTTATGTATTGGTTGTTAAGGTTAGATTTCTGTTGTTAAACTTATGGAATGGTAGCTAACATTAGCTCCTTGTTGTAACGCTTAGCTCTCTGGTGATGTTATGGTTTTGTTATTAAAGATCATGGACTGGCTGTCAAGGTTATGTGCTGGTTGTCATGCTTATGGATTGGTTGCTAAGGTTAGCGCCCTATTGTTAAGGTTATGGGTTGGTTGCTAAGGTTAGAGTCCTGTTGTTAAGGTTAGTGCTCTGTTGTCAAGCTTATGTATTGGTTGTTAAGGTTAGATTTCTGTTGTTAAACTTATGGAATGGTAGCTAACATTAGCTCCTTGTTGTAATGCTTAGCTCTCTGTTGTTAGGCTTATGGATTAAGAAGATCACGGGGTCGTATTGTTGATGTTATGGTTTTGTTATGAAAGATCATGGACTGGCTGTCAAGGTTATGTGCTGGTTGTCATGCTTATGGATTGGTTGCTAAGGTTAGCGCCCTATTGTTAAGGTTATGGGTTGGTTGCTAAGGTTAGAGTCCTGTTGTTAAGGTTAGTGCTCTGTTGTCAAGCTTATGTATTGGTTGTTAAGGTTAGATTTCTGTTGTTAAACTTATGGAATGGTAGCTAACATTAGCTCCTTGTTGTAATGCTTAGCTCTCTGTTGTTAGGCTTATGGATTAAGAAGATCACGGGGTCGTATTGTTGATGTTATGGTTTTGTTATGAAAGATCATGGACTGGCTGTCAAGGTTATGTGCTGGTTGTCATGCTTATGGATTGGTTGCTAAGGTTAGCGCCCTATTGTTAAGGTTATGGGTTGGTTGCTAAGGTTAGAGTCCTGTTGTTAAGGTTAGTGCTCTGTTGTCAAGCTTATGTATTGGTTGTTAAGGTTAGATTTCTGTTGTTAAACTTATGGAATGGTAGCTAACATTAGCTCCTTGTTGTAATGCTTAGCTCTCTGTTGTTAGGCTTATGGATTAAGAAGATCACGGGGTCGTATTGTTGATGTTATGGTTTTGTTATGAAAGATCATGGACTGGCTGTCAAGGTTATGTGCTGGTTGTCATGCTTATGGATTGGTTGCTAAGGTTAGCGCCCTATTGTTAAGGTTATGGGTTGGTTGCTAAGGTTAGAGTCCTGTTGTTAAGGTTAGTGCTCTGTTGTCAAGCTTATGTATTGGTTGTTAAGGTTAGATTTCTGTTGTTAAACTTATGGAATGGTAGCTAACATTAGCTCCTTGTTGTAATGCTTAGCTCTCTGTTGTTAGGCTTATGGATTAAGAAGATCACGGGGTCGTATTGTTGATGTTATGGTTTTGTTATGAAAGATCATGGACTGGCTGTCAAGGTTATGTGCTGGTTGTCATGCTTATGGATTGGTTGCTAAGGTTAGCGCCCTATTGTTAAGGTTATGGGTTGGTTGCTAAGGTTAGAGTCCTGTTGTTAAGGTTAGTGCTCTGTTGTCAAGCTTATGTATTGGTTGTTAAGGTTAGATTTCTGTTGTTAAACTTATGGAATGGTAGCTAACATTAGCTCCTTGTTGTAATGCTTAGCTCTCTGTTGTTAGGCTTATGGATTAAGAAGATCACGGGGTCGTATTGTTGATGTTATGGTTTTGTTATGAAAGATCATGGACTGGCTGTCAAGGTTATGTGCTGGTTGTCATGCTTATGGATTGGTTGCTAAGGTTAGCGCCCTATTGTTAAGGTTATGGGTTGGTTGCTAAGGTTAGAGTCCTGTTGTTAAGGTTAGTGCTCTGTTGTCAAGCTTATGTATTGGTTGTTAAGGTTAGATTTCTGTTGTTAAACTTATGGAATGGTAGCTAACATTAGCTCCTTGTTGTAATGCTTAGCTCTCTGTTGTTAGGCTTATGGATTAAGAAGATCACGGGGTCGTATTGTTGATGTTATGGTTTTGTTATGAAAGATCATGGACTGGCTGTCAAGGTTATGTGCTGGTTGTCATGCTTATGGATTGGTTGCTAAGGTTAGCGCCCTATTGTTAAGGTTATGGGTTGGTTGCTAAGGTTAGAGTCCTGTTGTTAAGGTTAGTGCTCTGTTGTCAAGCTTATGTATTGGTTGTTAAGGTTAGATTTCTGTTGTTAAACTTATGGAATGGTAGCTAACATTAGCTCCTTGTTGTAATGCTTAGCTCTCTGTTGTTAGGCTTATGGATTAAGAAGATCACGGGGTCGTATTGTTGATGTTATGGTTTTGTTATGAAAGATCATGGACTGGCTGTCAAGGTTATGTGCTGGTTGTCATGCTTATGGATTGGTTGCTAAGGTTAGCGCCCTATTGTTAAGGTTATGGGTTGGTTGCTAAGGTTAGAGTCCTGTTGTTAAGGTTAGTGCTCTGTTGTCAAGCTTATGTATTGGTTGTTAAGGTTAGATTTCTGTTGTTAAACTTATGGAATGGTAGCTAACATTAGCTCCTTGTTGTAATGCTTAGCTCTCTGTTGTTAGGCTTATGGATTAAGAAGATCACGGGGTCGTATTGTTGATGTTATGGTTTTGTTATGAAAGATCATGGACTGGCTGTCAAGGTTATGTGCTGGTTGTCATGCTTATGGATTGGTTGCTAAGGTTAGCGCCCTATTGTTAAGGTTATGGGTTGGTTGCTAAGGTTAGAGTCCTGTTGTTAAGGTTAGTGCTCTGTTGTCAAGCTTATGTATTGGTTGTTAAGGTTAGATTTCTGTTGTTAAACTTATGGAATGGTAGCTAACATTAGCTCCTTGTTGTAATGCTTAGCTCTCTGTTGTTAGGCTTATGGATTAAGAAGATCACGGGGTCGTATTGTTGATGTTATGGTTTTGTTATGAAAGATCATGGACTGGCTGTCAAGGTTATGTGCTGGTTGTCATGCTTATGGATTGGTTGCTAAGGTTAGCGCCCTATTGTTAAGGTTATGGGTTGGTTGCTAAGGTTAGAGTCCTGTTGTTAAGGTTAGTGCTCTGTTGTCAAGCTTATGTATTGGTTGTTAAGGTTAGATTTCTGTTGTTAAACTTATGGAATGGTAGCTAACATTAGCTCCTTGTTGTAATGCTTAGCTCTCTGTTGTTAGGCTTATGGATTAAGAAGATCACGGGGTCGTATTGTTGATGTTATGGTTTTGTTATGAAAGATCATGGACTGGCTGTCAAGGTTATGTGCTGGTTGTCATGCTTATGGATTGGTTGCTAAGGTTAGCGCCCTATTGTTAAGGTTATG